CAAAGCGGCCACAAACTCGTCACAACACTCGCCGATGAGTGGGTACAGGCGTCGCAGTTTGCCGGCGCTAAACGCGGGACTAATGATGTGTCGCAGCCGTCGCCAGTGGTCGTCGCGGGCGTTGAACAGATGCCGCACGAATCGGCCGTTCGGGTCGGTCTCTGGCATACGGTTACGGAATTTGTGAAACTCTTTGACCAGTATTTGTTTGACGAGCGCCGGTTCGGCCACAGTTAGCGCCGGCCGTTTCAACCCATACACTCTATAACATACAAAGAGTAATTAGTAATTAGTAACTTGTTATTGCCTAAGTTATTAATAAATATTTAGTATTGCATTTTAATAATTACCTTATACAGATTATCTTATAATTATTATAATTAAATGTGATACATGCCGTGTTTTAATTATTTACTTACCCGTAGATTTTGCCGTACGTGTTGTACCAATTCATCTCGATATAAGGTAAGGATTTTAATAACGTACTCATTGTGTTACCAAAATATGGTATGGGTGTCGGGCCCGGGATATTACGGTCCGACCAGTAATTTAGCGAACGATTCAATTTTCTAACATTTAATGCCAGAACATAATATTATTTATAATATGAAACATAATATTAAAGTATATATTGCAAATCAATAAAGCATGGTAATTTTAATTATTAGTAAATAACTTTATCGAGCAAGTATAGAATATATAGTACAATATAACAATGCTTACACAAATTTGAGGGTGACCAGGAAGGCCATAATAGGGGCCAATGAATACCAAAAGTATTGTGTATTAATTAGTGATGGCATCGGAATTGTTGCCATTAATTGTATTAATTTAGAAAACATTTTGTAAATTAAATGCCACGCATAGAGTATAATCAAGTTTTACTGTATAACATTTAAATTATAATGAATAATTAATTAAAATATTATTTATTAATTTAGCTTATATACTCGTACGATTTTCATGATTTGCAAAAAATACATTTGCTTTCTAATTGGTTATAAACTACGGTTATTAAAACAATTGAGAATATTCTGGCTGTTACCAACCAAGTTGAAAAACATCAATTGTATTAGGCATATTTAATATATCAGTATTTAGTATAGCTATGTTTATAGTATAGCCATTTCATTTACTTAATTTTGTTTTTATTATATTTTGATTTGATTTAAAACAACAAGGTTACTAATTACTGCAATATCATATACATACTAAAGTTGGTTATTTTACCTTGGTTAGTGCAGTAACTACCTAAATATTCTTTGTAGTTTTAAAAATATTATTTGTTTATTTAATACTAACTCGTAAGATATATTTTATGCAATTCATTTATATACATTAGTAATATTTTAAATTATAAAGATATATTTATTATTGCTGATATAATTTTGTATTAATATCAATAAGCAAAATAAATTTTGCATTATATATTTTAATAACTTTTAGTTTATAATAATTGTAATTTTTAATTTAAATTTAGTACATTAATTCATTTAAATCATAATTAATTAATTATATATTAATAACTATTATATTGTTTTAATTTAATTAAAGTTTACTTTATCAATTGCATAAAAACAATAAATATTGCAATATCATTTATGCATATTTCAATTAGATATTTTATCCCAATCAGAATAATCCTTAGAATAATTATATCTTTGTAATGAATAATAAAATGAGTTGCATAAAACATTGTGTACTTCTTAGAGTGACCTAATTCATTTGAATAGAATAAATATAAGTTAAAATACGTAAAATGAATTAGTTTGTAATTAACCTTAATGCAATATACTCATTGTTAGATATACGGTAAAACTTGATTATATATTGTAATTAACATTTAATTCCTATAATATTGTATAATTTAGTAAAAACAATAACAATAATACCGATGTCTTTGTTAATTAACATTCAATACATGCCATATGTATTGGCCGCCATTGTGGTCATTTTGATCACGTTTAGATTATGGTCAGTATTTTATTATTGAGCATATGTGAATTTAGGTGATCAAAGATAGCATAGCAAACACTATTAGGCATACTGTTAATCATTACTTTAAATATTCATAATGATTACAGTGTAATTACACTGTATGTATTTATAATATAACTCGCTAAGAGCTCTATGATCGCCAAGTTTACATATTTTGTACAAGAATTGATAGAGTTATTCTAATTAATAAATATTATTTATCATGATTAATAATATTGTTGACATTAATGCACAGGAAATGGAAGCGTTCACTAAATTACTGGAGAGACCGTAATGTCTCGGGTCCGACACCCGTACTATACTTTGGCAATACTTTGACCGCACTATTCAAACCATTCGTTTATACAGAGATGGAGTGGTATAAGAAATACGGCCGAATTTACGGGTAAGTAGACAATTAAACACGGAAAGTAAAACATTTATTATGATTAATTAATAAAACATGCATTTTATTTGACCGAAATAACGACAAATTCTATACCCGACCCAACCCGAACTCGGATTGACTCGACCCGAACCCAACCCGAACCTTAAACCCGACAAATATGAAAGAATAGTATATTTTACAAGCGTTTCATCACATTTATAGTGTTTTATTGAGCTCGCCACTTTTAAACTTTAAGACAATACTTTTTGTCTGCTATCTATTAGTTGCAAAACAATAGTAGTATGAGTTCACGCATGCGCTTTGAGTATAGGGTTCGGGTTTTACATGTAGCTCACTAGTGTATAATGTAGCATTTTAATTAGGGTGCTCAACAATATTTATTAATTACTAAACTAATTACTACCTAATTATTATAAATAACAAACTGTTTTACTCTCGCATCATAGGGTGTATGGTTTGGTACGGCCGGCGCTAACGGTGGCCGAACCGGCGCTCGTCAAACAGATTCTGGTCAAAGAGTTCCACAAATTCCGTAACCGTATGCCAGAGACCGAC